CGTGTCATTGAGAGTCGAACTGGAAGCCTATACCGACAGACTTGCTTTCTGATTTTCTTGTTGTGGCAGACGCTTCTGCACGGGATTAGGCGAAACACAAGCTCACCGGACCTGATTCCCCTGACTGTGCTGGCGAAGAACAGCAGCAATTCAACCGATCGACCGACCAATTAGTTCAGCTCGGGAGCTGCAGCTGAAAAGTTACATCAGAGAGGACAGGAGCCGCTGAACACGGAAACCGAGGAAGCTAAACCGTTCACAACCGCTACCAAGTAGCGCAGTGAACACCGGTCTGTGCGTGATAGAGATTTGTACAGTGTAGTCACGAGTCGTGTGTTTAAGAATTCAATAAATCCGATTAACAATCCAGATCACGTCTATCGTCACTAGAACGCGTGACAGGAGGTTAGAAATTTCTTTATTACGTACTCACTGAATTTACAAAAACTGTTCGAAATGCGATTCTCCATGTTCAGTGCACAACGCTGAGATACCGCTCTACAAATTTACTGACAGGTCTAAATATTCAACATTCCAGTCGATGCGAGAGAATGCTCAAGTTTAACCGACTGTTTGGGCACTATGCATGAAGGTTCATATCATATTAACTCCATATATAGTAAAATCTGCTCGTAAAGTAATCTTCAGGGGGGGGGATTTATTCTGTCTTGTGTGACATTATGCATAATGAACCCTGCTATTTGCTTCTAGATTAAGATATATTACAAACGCCCCGTACTTTTCTTCCAAAGGACAAGTAGGATTCTCAAGCTACATAAAGGAACGGCACTGTGTCTTCGCAAAGCTTTTTAGGGCAAATTTTCTATTCTTTATTCCTCTTTCATTTTCCCTCTTTTTCCAGTGGTTCATTACATTACATTACATTACATTACATATTTCATCAACGACGTGGCTTATTTTCCAGTTGTGGCTGACATGTTTCTCCTAACGCAACTTCCAGAAATAACTGTAAAGTTGTCCCTGTGCTTAACTAACTCCACGCCATGAAGACGTATGGGGTAGTGAATGTATAGATCCATATTTTCTCGACCTCGGCATTAGTTGGAGTTGAGTGGTCAGCTTTACGCCCTTCCCGCTTTACCCCTCGGAGAGAGAGACCGGTACTGATTGAATAGGAGGTTGGGTGGACCCCAGAGCCGGTCTGGACGACGTGGAGAAAAGAAAATTCTTTATCCTACCGGGACTTGAACCCCGACCCCTGTGTCGTCCAGCTGGTAGCCAATCGCTATACCGACTACACTCTCCCGGATCCTACCAGAAATAAGTGTACTGAAGAAACCTATTAGAACAGGAAACACTAATCGAGTGGACTTCTTGGGGACAAGTGTTATGAAGATAGAATTGGATTAAACTGTATCAGGATCTATTCAATGGCGGTGCTGAACATTCCTTTCTGTCACCAGCAAAACGAGCGTGTGGTATTGCCTGTGCATTTCGTACGATTCGTGATTCGTAGAGATCAATAAAATTCCAGAATTACATCAGTCGGTTAGTGGCTCATGTTAAAGCACTTGACTGAAGGATTTAAGAGGTCTCTGGAATCAAAACACTGAACAGCCGGCCTTTGCACACTGAAATCTATGTGGCTCGTATCTGCGTTACAGTTAACTGTAAAAGCCTTGATAACGGTATCCCTGTAACAGGGCGTGAAGGCCCATAGGGTTGTGAGATGCTGAGGTTCCCACATTTTCTAGACAATCGGCTCACAGATGGCGGTGAGGTTTCAGCCTTACGCGCCGCCCGCCCTTTACCCCCCCCCCAAACTAAGATTCTGGTACTGATTTCTGTTAGAGGCTAAGCCGATCCGAGGGCCACAGTGCGGCTGGAAGGATTAGATCAATTTAAATATCCAATGTCTTCATCAGGAATTGAATCCGCGACCTTCCGGCTTTAGCATAGTGCCTCAGCCAACAACGCTATCGCGTGCTCCACTGAAAAAGCCTTATGACTTTCGAAAGTAATAGCATTTTATTTCGATTGAGATCAGCACTATTTTATAAAAATTTATGCCACATCGTTTTGTTTCAATTCTTCGTGGGGCCTTACACGCGAGGGGATATATGGAGCGTAGCAGGTGTCCTCCTTACGGTTCAGGATCTCAGCTTTGGACCCCAGATGCTGGGGAAATGTAGAACCAGTGTGGGGGAGCACAAGCCTGTTGGCAATACGCACTGTGCCTAACGAGCATTCTGGACAGAGTTGCAACGCTAAGTGTTCATCCGCTTCAAGCATGTGAATACACGTATAATATTATGTACTGGTGAAGAGTTAGGTGGGGTCCGTTAATAGACGATAATTTTGTAATAGCTATAATATAACTGAACCTGTTCCTCACACCCGCAGGGAATTATAACTCTCTATAATCACTAAACTTTGGCAATCCAAGGCATGAAAAAAATTAAGTTGTACCCGTGTTTGATTAATTAAACACCGCGCCATGAAGACGTGTCGGAGAGTGAGGTATAGCTTCACCATTCTCGACCTCGGCTTTAGATGGAGGTGAGTGGACCAGCTTCACGCTCATGTCGCTTTACCTCAGCGGCAAGAGCACTCGATAACAATTACGTAGGAGGTTAAGTGGACCCCAGAGCCGATAAGGACACTGTGGAAGGGAGAAATATTTCTTGCTCCTGTCGAAAATCGAACCCTGGCAATCAAGTCCGTAGATATCCCAGATCCTGGCAATCCGAGGTATGCGACATAATACCTAACGCACCGACTGATGGTGGGCTACTCAACTGGATGGCAAAGGCACAGCTGTCCCTGTGTTTAAGAACGAATACAATGAACACGTACGAGTGGCGGTACAGCTCCACTCATTCTGAATCTCAATATCAGATGGAGGCGACCTGCCGCTTTATATAGAACTAAAGAATCCTCAGTACCCATTGGATAAAAGGCTGGATAGCTCCCAGCACAAGCCTGGGAGCGAGGTCTATGAGAAACAATTTGGCCTCATCGTCAGCTCGGCTGAGGCATCTTGATAGCATACACTACTAAGAGCATTAGCGTTTAAGGTAAATTGGAGTTTGCATAGCACACGTTGCCACAGTAGACCTATATAGATTTCAAGTTGTGTCTCTTCAGTTTTACTTGTTCTCTAAGTGGCTGTAACTCTCAGTAAATTTCAGATAATCTTCCGAAATAGACCTTAGATTTCGTGATGAGCCAGCATACTTGAGACTGTATAGCTAACAGACTATGGTCTGGATGACCGATGAGTCCGGGTTCGATTCCAGTTAGAGGCATAAGACGTTCCTACTCTCCACAGCACCCAGAGCGCTCTAGAGCCCGCCCAGTGTCATATGAAATGGACCCATCCTCCAATACGTACAGAGCAGTTTGTCCAGGGATAAAGAGGCCAGGACGTGAAGCTCACTTCCATCAAGTTCCGAGATTATGAACATGAAGAAATGATGTGCGATGTCACGATCTAAGTACGCCTCTATCCGATTTATGTAATTTATTCCTCAAATACAATTATATCGCGAAACGTTTTGGACACAGGACCATCACGTTTAGGGAGGAACCGAATATCGAAGGAAACTTTGCTATATATGCATGTATATGAACATATATATAACATTTAAAATATTTAATAGTTAAAATTAATGCTACATTAAGGTTCATTGATTAAAGTAGTGTTGTCAATTAGTGGTATGCCGTATAAATAGTGACATGACGCCTGAAAGTGGTATGTCGTATAAATTGTGACATGATGCCTGAAAACCTGAATAGTGGAGCCAGAGCAGACGTTCTTTGCTAGGCAACGACTAGGTAAACAGGTTCCTGCGGAAATGAATAGACACACAACAATAGAACTACAGTTTCTACGCAACGACGAGGTAAGCACACCTCTGTAGCAATAGAATTATTAGGAAACTTTGATTTATGTTGAGGCCGCGGGTCCGAATACATCCACCGTAGCCCTGTGAGTCGTAGGAGGCAACGAAAAGGGAACCCAGTGCCTAGGGGTATAACTGGGTCATCTTGTTCCTGGGGGATGCAAAAACGGGGACCTGGCCTTCCAGGTTAGGAGAGTACTGAATCTGAGATGGTAAAGTACTCGAACCCGAGAATGACTGTCCTTGTGAGGCCAGCAGCAGTTGTAAACAACAGACCCATCTTCTCGTCAGAGAGGATTAAGGACTATAACCGCAGTGTTCAGTTGAAATAAAATATTGGTCGTGAGTCTCAAGCGGCTTGGCGCAAAGAAGAACTGATTAGGGGTTAACTGCCGATAGTAAAGTAACTCTAACTACGACTGTGACTGTGATATAGAATTGAGAGACTAGAATGTGACTGAGAAGAGATGGCAACTGAGAGTAAGTTGAGTTTCGAGACGCCAGCCGGCCAGGATATGAGCTTGGGAGCAGAGAAACTGAACCGAGGAACTGAGACATCAGAATTATTAAGTGCAGTTCAAGGAGTTGAAAGTCTGGACATAAAGAGAAGACTTTACTACGTGTGTTATAGTACCGCAATATTTGAGGATGTAATTCAGTGAGACTATTATAGTTCCCGTGTTAAAATCCGTTGCCAGGAAACAGATTGTGGAGACTCTAATAGACTGAGAACAATAGTGTCTGCAGGAGTGAACTAGAAAGTGTGGAGATTAGCGGTAGCGCTGCATGAGTTGGGTGTATAAGTGTATTAAATGCAATCACCCAATGCAATAGTCACCCTTACACGTGTCAATATATTGTATTGTTTCAAATCCGTTTCTTAGACGTCGATATGGCGCTTTGAGGAACTGTTGTATTGTTTCCTAAGATGTGAATTGCTGGACTGTCTAGTTCTTCACCCCTTAGGAACCAACAAAACGAACCTGCACAGTACATTCATTATATTGCATACACAAAAATGAGAAATTTTTCACTATTTTCTGCAAACTGGCTGTCGCCTCAAGTTGGCCAAATTTGGCAAACTTGAGTGGAACGGCAAGTGACTAATACAGAAAGGTTTCAGTGTGAACTTACCTTCCAAAGCTGCGAATGACGTTAGGGCGAGGAGAATTATTAGCACCTGCACTACGAAACAGGCACAAGATGTATCAAGTGGTGTTGCCATCTTCACAAATTTACCGCAAACACAAGAGTGAATCGCCACCGCTTACACTAATATTACGTATGTTCGTGCATTTGTAGTGTTTATACACAGGTGTCTTGACTGTACACACACGCGACCTCATCCGTGAGCGACTAGAGCTCAGCACCAACGCTCCCAAATTCTTCTGATGGCAACAAGGAATGCAGCTGTCTGAAAAGAAAAGAAAAAGTCAATATAATGAACATATTTGTGCGTTAGTCACTGAAATTACGACAGAAAGAAAGCGGACTTAAATACTGTATCCCATACTAAATATGTTGGTTACTTTACTTCAAACTTCTCTCACAAATTCTTATGAAAATAAAGGAAGCGCAGAAACTAACTACCATGTGAGAATAACAATTATTAAAGCACAAAAAAGCGGCCTCCGTAGTCTAGGGGTAACGTTCCCACCTCATGACTCAAGGTACGCGGATTCAAATCCGGCGGAAGTCGTCGAATTTTTAAGGGCGGAAAAATTCAGGGCACAAGCCCTCCGGGAGGGACTTTAAGCCGTCGGTCCCATGTCGTAGCTTTACGGCACGAAAAAGAACCTCATGTCTCAAGGAGACCTCTGAGCCAAATTGTAGGACATTTCCCGCCCAACAGTAGTTTCTAACGCTTCTGGTAGATGGGGGAAGCATCATAGGTACCGCTGACCCAGTAGAGGCCGAACTCGCTGGCTGAGTCGGGGCTGATGGCACGCACCAGTACCGGTAGGGTATAGAGACTGGTAGAATATCATAAGGGGGACGTACAATAGNCTCTAAATTAAACCTATAAATGATTACAGAATTTTTTTTGTGAACATCCGAAAGCCTGTCTCGGCAATTCCATGAAATGTTGTTGGACCTTGTTCTTAGGATAACCTACATTTAATCAACACAGATACAGCCACAATGTAACCTATATTTTTCCAGCAAACCGATTTCGATCGGAGCGTTACCCTGTCCTAAAGAAAACCGAAACTCATGTTTAAACTATTTTTAAAAGAATACGTATTATAGTAACATCATTATGTTGATGTAGAACTGTCTACAATACGACACTAAATACAGGTTTTGTGTTGCGCAAGGACAGATGGGGTGAAGCAACATAATCATGATAATGTGAGGGTTGTTTCGTAATGTTGTAGACAAACAGGTTTCTGAAGGACCTCTGTAAACGAAAGAAATAATGTAGTAAAGATTCTCTGCTCACACAACGGCTCTAAAAGGGAATTTACATTCTTTCCACTTTAACCGCAAGGTATAATCAGTTTCACTAAATCTCGGAAAGCAATATATTGCGCAGTTCACGGCTCCGTGAGTAAACTATCTGATGTAAATGAAATAACACTAAAAGAACTTCGGCATTCTCCACTCCTTCGTTTGCTACAACCGTTGAAAGGTAACGGAAGTGTTACTAAACCCGGATGCGATAATTACAGCTGTTTGTATTTATAACTGCGCATCTTAATAGGGCAGAAGATTTATTCCTTTTCCTAGTCTGTTATACAACCTGAAGGTTCACTGCCGTGTTAATAACACCTCGCCATTGTTCTCTATCCTGAGCCAAACTAACCCAATCCCTCCCCTCCCATCCTACTTATTTCTTTAAATTATTATTATTATTATTATTATTTAATATTTAATTGCGTGGGACTTGGTCTCTGACATTAAGGGAGCAACACAGACTGAGGGTGTGTGAGAAAAGAGTATTGACGAAAATATTTGGACCGAACAGAGATGAAGTGGCAGGAGGTTGGAGAAAACTGCATAATGAGGAGCTTCGTAACTTGTACTCTTCGCCAGGTATAATTAGAATGATCAAAGTCAAGGGATGAGATGGGCAGGGCATGTAGCACGAACGGAGAGAAGAGGAATGTATATGGGATATTGGTGGAAAATACAGAAGGAAAGAGACCACTAGGAAGACCAAGATGTAGGTGGGTGGATAATATTAAAATGGATCTTAGATAGGATGGGATGGTATGGATTAGATTGATTTGACTTAGGATAGGGACCAGTGGAGGGCTCTTGTGAACACGATATTGAACCTTCCTGTTCCATAAAATGCTGGGAACTTCTTGAGTGGCTGCACAACTGGCGGCTTCTCAAGAAGACAGTAAATCTGCATGTCTCTCACCTCTCCCGTTTATGCTCCCTACTTGACCCGTTCCCCCTGATGTGATCGTCCTAATAAAATTTGTTGAAGAGTGGAACTTATAAAACTTCCTTTTCTACAATTCTCTAAACCCTCCTGTTTCTTCCTCCCTCTTCGTTTAAAATCTTCCCCTTATCACCATGATGAGACGTCCTCAATCTATATTCTTGCCTAGAAAGGGAGAATGATTTCCACAGGAAACGGGAACACATATTTTAAGTTTCAGGTTTCTGGATAAGAGACAGGAAGACAACGGATTCTGAACGCTACGGCACCAAGCAGTCGGCGTAGTTCTAGGCCCTGTTACATTATTATACACCCCTACAAGCTGAGATATCGGTATTCGATTCCTAGCAGGGGTATAATTTTTCTCTTTTCCATAGCGTCCATACCAGCCCTAGGGCCAACCCGGCCTCCTATCCAACTGTAAAATTGGGCGGGGACTATTTTCCCAAGGGTAAAGCAGTCGGGACGTGAAGCTGACCAATCGCCCCCATCTAGTGCCGAGATCAAGAATTACGGAGCTACACCTCAACTCCCCCACACGTATTCACGGTGTGGTGCTCAATCATTTAAGCACATAGACAATTACCGCTTTATTTTAAACAATGGTTGAACTGAGGACAAATATACACTTTTAGGCCCTTTATAAAACATGAGCAGCTCAGTCAATCCAAACTCTGGGTAGGGGCTATTTCGCAGAAGCTTCGATGAATCTGGCCGTCTCCATGTTCAAGGCAAAATGCACAATATGAAGTAATCACACAGAAATGGAAACAAGCTTCGTTGCAAAATGGTAAGTCTGATTGAAATAATGACGCTCATAAATAACTTCTTGTTACTTATGCGTATATTCAGTCTCTGGGTTCCTTACTACGGCGCTATCAGTTGCGTAGCGAAGAGCAGCACTGTACCGTCAAATAAGACACAGGAAACCAGAGGCTCCCGGTTATATTCTTCTGATGTCTGACCAAAGGCAAAAAGAAAATCTCCTCACAGCGCCTGTGTGTGTAGTTCAGTTTGATGGTCTGTTGCTTGTTTTCTTTTACCTGCCAGAAAGGTTAATAGTTGATGATAGTTTTCTTCATGTCCCTACTCTTGTAGTTGTTTTTCGTCTCCTCTTCCCCCCCCCCTCCTCATTCTACCTGCTTCAGCCGGTACAGGGCGTCACAATACAAAGCAGACGGGGATCTTGCCATTATGCGAATGCGCAACAAAAATTACAGTTTGTTATCCGCGCTACTTAATGGCAGGGGCTGAAATACCTCAGGCGGTCAGGGTTCAATTCCCGGCAGAACAAGAAATTTTTAGCTCCTGCCCAGTGCCTGGACCGGCTCTGGGGCCAAACCAGCCTGCTATCGAATGGACATCGGGCAGCTCTATCTGTAGGCATAAAGCGGCCGGGAAGTGAAGCTGGCCACTCACCTCCATCTAAGGCAGAGTTCAAGAATGGTGGAGCTATAATTCCACTCCCCCTTAAGTACATATTTTTTTTAATTCGCTTAGTGGGGAGTGGAGTCCAACTGGGTCCACTCGGCACGGCGCCCACTGATTGGTCTATTGTAGCCTGCCCCGGGTGATCATGATGATGGAGAATTTGGTGGAATGAAGATTGGCAGGGGAAACCGAAGTACTTGGAGAAAACCCGCCCCAGCGCTACTTTGTCCACCACAAATCCCACTTGACCAAACCCGGGATCGAACCCGGGCCGGCGTGGTGGGAAGCCAGCGACTAATCACTTGAGCTATGGCGCGGCCCTATTCATATCTTGGTGATTAATTAATTTACTATTATTATAATGGCATTACAGCCCTTGGTTGGGCCTTGGCCGTTTTTCATTTCCTTGATCCTACACACAATCGGTAGGACTCCTTGGACGGGGGGTCAGCCCGACGCAAGGCCGCTACCTACACATAGAATTAACGCACACAGACATCCATGCCTCGAGTGGGATTCGAGCCCACGACCCCAGCGTTCGAGTGAGTGAAGACGATTCATGCTCTAGACCGCGCGGCCACTGTGATCGGCAATTAGTTAAGCATATGGACACGTTTTACATTTACTTTCTATGTAGACAGAGGGTTTCTCCGAAAGTTTGGTAATGGAATACGGTCCACACTGTGTCATAACCCCCAAGGCTTCAGTCTGCAAGTCCTTTTCGGCTCCGTTTTAAATATTCTCATACGAAGGCCTTGCTGAACACGCGTCCCTAAGGAGCTTAAGAATCCACCACAAGAGGACGTGTTGGGGTGACATTGTCTGCAAGTGGAATAGGAGTTCGTATAGTGTCACTGTTGGCACTACTGCAGCTCTTCGCAAAGAAATCGAAAAGACAAAACCTAAACACGGAACTCACCGAGCAAGCAGGTTAAAGCCGTTATGCTCACGACTTCTATTCGAGGGGTCGAATGAGTCGGGACACAAACTTTCCTCATTGAGGAATTTTACTGGTCTTCCTCAGTCATTCCAGCAACCTAGCGGGACAGTACTTTAATTACGTCACGAACGCTTCCTTCCATATCCTTCCAATTCATCATTCTCTGACGTCATCACTGGACGTTACACAGTCTGAGTGACTGACAAAGGTAAAGTTGTCCCTGTGTTTAACAAATTAGGCACTATGCCATGAAGGTGTATGGGGGAACGCATGCATAAATCCACGTATTTTTGAGACCTCGACACTAGTTGGAGGTGAGTGGTGAAATTCACAACCCGGTCGCTTTAACCCCAGGGAGAGATCCAGCGGAACCCACTGGATAGGGGGCTAGGTGGGCCCCAGAGCCGGCCTTGGAAGATATGGAGAAGTAACAATTCTTATCCCCACCGGAACTCGAACTCCGACTCCTCGGTCGTCCATCCCGTAGCCAGTCGCTATACAAACAGTGTCAGTAAATAAACTATAATAGACTAGACATACAAAATTTAGAATTAAAAGAAATTACTGTTCAACCACTGAAGTTTTCATCATGAAAACAACTCCATGGCCTGTAGTCCGCAAGCGAGCTATATCGACCGAGCGACCGCCG